AACTGTCAAATCATTCTGATGAGAGAAAATTTTCAGATGATTTCATTCTATGGATTGAGCAATTATTGCTTGATTACTTAAGTAATTTACATTTACTTTGATCAGCTTTGATTTGTTTGAGTTGATTTGCATTAATTTCAACTTACTGTTTTGTGTTGATTAGCTTGTGTTATTTGAAGAATTTATGGGAATTTTTATTGAAAAACTGCGTGAAGCAGAAGACTAAGTTGGGAAAATTGTTAGCGATTCTGATTCATAGGAGTTTATATTAATTCTTTAGCTGTTTTATGTTATGCAAGATTAGATATTTAATGTGATTGTGACAAGGTTATTCTTTCTGAAGCTTGATATTTCACGAAAAAGCTAGGTTTCATTGCTAATTCTAGCAAAAAGGACTATGCTTTGCATTGCAAAAAGTATAGAGCTAATAAATTGAATTTTAAAAATTTTTGATTATTTTAATCAATAATACATCCTTAATGCCCGATCATCGTTACTACAAAAAACAGTTTACAGTCTAAAGTATAGTCTCACCTTAGTCACCAAAACAATTTGAATTGCAGTGCCTCCAGATCAAAAGGTTGGTCTCTCTCGATGCTTTTCCTTTACATTACTTACTCACTTAAATCCCATCTAATGCCCCTCCTCCCTACCCATTATGCAAATTCTTCAAAGCTTCCAAGAATTCAAAAAATTCCAAAACTTTATCGCATTTACGTAAGCAACTTTCAATCCCGATCCATATGGCCGTAAAATTTACGAGAACTTGATGGCAATAAAGTAAATTTTCCAATGCATTTACGTAAGCAAGTTGAAATATTATGAATTAATTATTCTACTTGAAAGTTTTTCGTGCTAATAATCTCATTAATTAATTAACTGAACTAGTCTGTTCAATTCATTATTAACATGAGAAATTGCAATAATTTTCCTAGCAGTTTAATTTAACATGTAAATATGATAATGAGCTTATAATTCAGTTACTTAATATTTCCATCTTTACTGGAACTTTTAATTGAAAGAGTCTGGAATCTTCGACTATTTTGAATGCTGGAGAAAGTCCAGGTTGTGTGAATACTGAATAAATTATATCTAGCATTTCTTTTGTAAGAACCAGGGATGGATTTGGATATATTGAAGCTGAGACTAGTTTAAGGCTACTTGGGGTACCTACACTATTCAGTACACTTAAGTGTTTTATTTTGAATTAGAATTCTTGGAAAGAGTACCTGTGGCTCACCGCAAAAACCAGTCCCTAGATTTATTCAACCTAACCCACTTCAACCCTCCTAAATAAGCCCAAAAACTCAGAGCGAATTCAATTATTTGCTAATTTCATTCAAAAATGTTCTGATTATTTCTATGGAAAGTTCCTAATTATCATTGATTTTATTTATAGAGCTATGACTACACAAAAACTCATGAATTATCTCATCTCCTAGACTTGCCATTCAGCAAGACAAAGAAAAATCATAATGGATTATCAAATATAGAAATTTTATATGGTTGCGAAGATTTACACATGTTCGTCATTACACATATGTGTGCCATACCATTCCTAATTCTTTCGGATAAAATATCATCGGCAAAAAAAAATCTTCTTTTTTTTTCGCTCGAATCATTAAGCAAATAATGATTTTGTTTCCCTCACCACACAAAGTCAGATTTGTGAACAAATTCATTGCAAATATTGACTATTACTCAAGTCGCGGAGCATTGGGCGATGTTGTAGAACAAAGTCCGAAATAATTTTTTTTTTATTATTTGCTTATGTCTTCAATCAACGTCAATTTGTTGTAAAATGATTTATTTGATTAAACTGTAATAGGAGAATATTGGGAACGGATTGAGTTGATGGAAGAAGAATCCGGGAGATGCTTCAAAAGAAATAACTGTGGTTAATTGATATTTGAGATGTTGTCGAGGCAGTTTAGTAGTTTGATGTCAAATCAGCAACAAAATGGCATTTTATGAGGCAAACAAGAATAATTTGGATAATTTTCAATCAAGTCTTGTGACTTAAAATATCAAATTTTGAAAATTATGCAGAAAACTAGAATCATCAAAATTTTGGACTGTTTGGAAATGAGTGCAGGGGATTCACAGTCTTTCGGGAATTCAGAAGAAATTTTGTTAGAATCATGTGAGACATTTTGCTTTTTTGTGGGTATAATTATTGGAATATTCAATAGCAAAACCACTTCTGTACGAAGATTATCATCACATGGCTGTGAAACGGTACATGCTGGGTTTTTCAGAACTTAAGTACCGGATACTTGGATACAAAAAGCTATTATTAGCACTTTCTGGTACAATAAAACTTGTAAGTGCTGTTGGCAAAATTTTCAATTTAGAATTATTGGCATCGAATATATTATGAGCTTCTAAGCCATACCTTAGTGTCCAATACCTGAAAAACCTATTTTTAAGCAAGCTTTAGCCTGAAAAAATTCTTAAAAATAAAATATAAATTCATTCACAACAAACCACGCAAAATTACACTTAAAAATCCTCAAAAAAATTCTCATCATTCAAGCCAGCATTTAAAGGCACTCGACAACAAGCAAACTTGTGCATTAGACACATCTCAATCAGATGAGATGCCTAAAATAAAATATATAAAAAATCTAATAATCCTGATAATGATTTTACAACAATCTCTAATTTTCAATTATGCCACAAACACCCTCAATCAATTTGACATGCAATGATGCACATGATGTCCCAACGGCAAAATTACCATTCAACAAAATAATATTATCTTTTTGCCAAATATGTTTAAAGATTAGAAAAAAAAATCTTGTTGTGTGGGATTTTTTTATTTATTTTATTTGTTCAATTACACGAGATGATGCCTCAAGATATCGCATTAAAGTTTAAACAAATCTATTGTTTGAGCAACTAAGTACATTTAAATAAATGCATGCGGTTGATTTGGATATTAAAAAATGTGATTTTTTATTCATTCGTCTTTGACTTCGATTCACCCTCGGAAATTTTCTCCCTATAAAAAAAAATGTTATTTGTGTGCAAGTGATGGGACATCATTATAATTACAGATTTCTATTTTTTTCTATGAGAAAAGATTTTTATCTGAGATTTTTTTTGACATGACTTTTTATTATCCTAAATCAACTACAAATTATTTTATAGCCTATTATTTAAATGCTATAAGTTGGATGGCAAACAGATTCTTTTTTTCGTCATCATCATCATCCCTCATTTATAAATGTTTGTGAGACTGCACAATGAATGTTTTGAACATTTCTCTGATGATCGTCAACGTATGTTACACATTACATTCACAAAATTTGGTTCCTTTGCTTTATTTTTAAAAAGGAAATTCAACCCCTCATCAATTTCTGTTTTGACCCTCGGCACACACATTTCTTGTTATTCTGCAAATTGATTTCGATTCTTTTATTATTTTTAAGGCGAGCGTAGGTTAATTTTTGTAAGAAAATTGGCATTTATGATATCATTATTAGGATTATTTGGATTTGACTCTTGAAATCTCTATTGACGCGGAAATCTAATAAAATGTATTATTTTGAGAATTAAGGGCAGGGGAGTAGCAAGTTGTGCTTTCCTAACGCAAGAGTGAGTGCAGGCAGGAAGGATCGGGGGTCTAAAGAGCTTCTTATCTGGAAATTTTTATATTGTTTCTAGAGCTTTTTGAGAAAACATCACAATCCCCTTTTATAATCAGAAAATTCAGCCTACATCCCTGCTTAAGTCTTATGCCACAAATCTTATCATGACGTCAATCCCAATATTTTTATTTTTCAATTAAAAAATAATTTTTTTTAAAATTCTTTTATTTTGATGCCTCTGAAGGGGAATTTCTTTCTGCGTCAAAACTTTTCTAATTTTCATATCATTTGAATTTCATTTTAATAAATTTTTATGAACCCAAAGAACGACAAAGATGATGGTGAAAAAAATATATTTTGCTGTATATTTGCATTTGTTATGAGGAGTTCCTCCAATTTTTTTTAATGGAAAAAGTTTTGAGCGCATTTTTTATAGGAGTGGCTTTTTGTGGATTTTTTGTCACTTTATCAATGTTATTTGGGATTATATAATTAGGTTATTAATTAATGTCTATGGGTTGTGGGATTTCGCCATATACTGGTATTTTGGGATATTTTATATACTTTTTTTTAATGATGATACTAAGGTCCTGCGTCAGATGGATATTAAAAATTAAATGTTAACCATTTGACGTAATCAACATTTTTCCTTAAAAAACCAGTCATTTGATTTTTAATTAATATCAGCTTCAGCACAGAAGTGGCAACAATGGAACCAAAGCCTCAACTGGCAATAGACTTTGACTTCCAACCCTACTTTTCCCTCCCCTTAACTCCAGTTTCTTCTGATTGTTCTCAACAGTTTAACCTTATTTTCTTCCTTAAAATAAATAATAAAAGAATAAAACAGAAACTTGCGAACTTCAGCATCAAACAATTTATATTACTTCCTATTCCATTTTCAAACAACCGGAAGCGGTCGCCTTAAAGAAAAGAACAAAACAAACAAAGCCTTTGCGAGGAAAAAAAACTCAAATAAAAAAAAACTTTTAATAGCTTTTAAAATGTTGCAACTCATAAATATTCCATTTCTCAAGAAACTATGATAATGAATGACTGAATAGACAGCTGACACCGCCATAAGCTGTCATCATCAACATTACTTGAATAGCATAGTAAATATTATAGTTGTAGTAATGGCAAAAGTGTGACTTTATGTATTACTTTTGACTTTATGTATCACATTTGACTTAATGCTTCGCTTTTGTGATCTACTCGTCGTTAATGCACATTATGCTATTCAGCTGTGAAGATGTAATGAGAATGATGATGAATTATGCTGTAAATAGTCATGAAAACTGTCAATAATTGAGTGATATTTCATTTTTTCAATGAACTTGCTTTCATGCTTTGATTTACCGCCGCTCAACTAATAATTTTTTATTTATCTTTTTTTTCTCGTTGTAGGTTAAAATATGGGTAAGATAAAGTTAACATATGTGCATTAAAGTTAACAAAATAATTGAAACTTATAAAAATTCTAATTATTTTTAATTATTCTTTAAATTTATAGTTCCAAAACAGACGTATGAAATGGTAAGAATGTCTTGAAAAAATTAGAATGAATCTTAATAATAATTAAAATGTTGATTTCAGGCGCAATTCAAAAGAACGAGAATTATTAGCAAGTGGAGGTTCCCGCGATCAAACATTACCGAACAAAAACAATCCCAATCCAGACTTATCAGATGCCAAATGTGACCGACAACAATCATTAACACCGCCATCATCATCACCATCAAGTCTCGAACAACAAGGACAACAGCAGTCACAGCACATAAGCATTCAATCACCATCAAGTCAATCGCCAAACAAGTCATCGCCAATTGATCAAAAGTTTATGGTTCTATCTAAAAAACCAGCTGATTTTAAATTTGAATCTGAAGAGATGAGCTCACGATCAGGACATCCACCGCACATAGGTCAATTATTCAATAATTTCTACGATAATCACTCATCTGATGGCAGCGTTAAGACATACAGCAATCAAAGCAGTTCAATGTACTATGATGATTATGACTCAAATTCAGATGGTAGTGAGGAAATTAATGTTACGTGACTGCCTGGTATGGACAGCGATGAATAAGTAGCATTTACAAAATAATTATTAATAAATATAATCGATTTTACGGAAAGATGTAAAATTAATTAAAAAGTAAGTTTTGTGGTTTAAATTACTTGAAATTAAGTTTAAGTATACGAGTTATAAAGTCCTTAAAAAATAAACTTACATTAATTTTAATTTGTATGCGTGATTCTGGATTGTATGGGAATTTTTTTGGGCAGATTTCAAGACAAAATGAATGTTGTAGATGGGAGGAATTGATTTAAGATTGGAAACTCGAGCGGCACATTTAGTCAGTAAGGTTTCACTGTGTCAATAGTTCATAGAAGCATGAAGGATATCTTGAAAGCGTTATAACAATTTTTTGAGATTGAAACTCTCGAAATATGTTGCTAAAGCCTACAAAATTCTCACAACATCCAGAAGATTACAGCAAATTTTTATGTTTCCAAAGATAAATTTAACATTATTGTAAATTATTAAAAAAATATTTCATTAACTTAGAAAGATTAATAATAAAAAATCATCGATAATCTGTGTAATAAAATTGTCAGTCAATTCTTAATGTTATTTTGATTTTTCAGACGATCCTTAAATTAAATTAAAAGATCTACGTGATTTTTGAAGCAATCATCTACATATAAATACTCAAAATATGCAAATTATAAGTTTAATGAATTTCCAGAAACCAAAAAACACATTTTAGTTTAACCATTATTGAAAGATTCAGAACGGCAAGCGTCATTCAATCTGTTTTATATCTTAAATAACTTATTTAACCTACAGAATATTCTAATTTTATGATTTTCAACAATAATGCAAAAATAAAGCTTGTTAAAAATAAAAACAAAATTTGCAGGCTAATTGTTTTTTTTTCCAATATTTAAGTCCATAATACTTTAGATTGTTTAACAACCAGATTAATAAAAATTCTAGAATGGACTTGATTTCTGAGAATCTTAATCTTTAGACTCACTTTTAATATTCTTTTAAATTATTTATTGTTGTGTTGTTAACGTTTTTTCAGTGATTCTTAAAATTCAAACTTTTAAGCTTGTTTGTGAATTTTTTCGATTTCCTCTCATTTCAATGTTTGATCATTTTTAAAGAAAATCAAATGCTTTATATAATTTATAAATATCGTAAAATATTTTGTTAAATAAATGCTGGATAATATTTTATAGCAGTTGACTGCAGCGCCATCTTTTGAAAATAATTCTAATTTTTTTTAAAATTAAATCTCTATTAGCTGTTGTGATAAAATCTACCTGAAATGCATTTTCTAGCTTAAATTGTTTTTTTTCCTTTTTCTATGACATCGAAATTAACTTCCAAGTGATGTAAAGTTCTTTTACAATCCGACTTGATAATAGATAATAAAGTTATTACCATGAACACTTACATTTGCCTTATCATTTATTACATAATTTTGACAATTTTCTTAGAAAGTTGTGTCAAATTTGAAACTAAGTACCGGCTATATTATTATTATTATTACCGGCTATACTCATTATCTTAGACAATCTAATTTATTATTAAAATATTCAGCATATTCACTAGAATGGAATAAACTTAAGCTAGCTCATAAGATCCCTTGATTGAAAACTGAGACTATAGACTAGAATACGTCATAGTGGTCTGTCATTGGAGATGCACAAAAAAAGATTTATCAACTAATATAACTCAATGAAGTAAGATTAAAATATGAAGTTTTTATTTATGATATTCCATAATAAAAATCAACAATGAGTTACACTTCCGCTATTCCACAAAGCAACATTATTTGGTGAATAAACAACCAAATTTCCATCATTTTGTATAACAATTCTAGCTCCTGGATGCCCATGTGTATGTGTATGCCATTTAGCTGCATGATTACAATCATATACAACAAAATTGCCATCGGTTTGCATGAAAGCATATTTTGTGCAAGTTCCATGAGTATTGGAGTGCCACGTGTGTTGCATTGAAGATGCTCGGTATATAACAAAGTTTCCATCTGTTTGATAATAAACTTTGAAGCATTGATTAGGCGATTGAATGAATTCACCAGCATTTAAATATTCATTGGATTTAAGGACACTCCTGATTGGTGTTTCCGTTTTTGTGGTTGTTGTTGTTTCTTTGGTCGATTGAGTGGGTCTCCTTGAGTACCTTCTAGGAGATTTTTCAGTAGTTGAAGGAACTTCTAAAAAAATTAATTAGGAATTGAAAAAATATATATTTCTTAAAAAAAACTTAAGGGCGTAGGTCAGGGGCGTAGCCAGAAAATTTTTAAGGGGGGGCCCATTTTCGAAAATTAAAAAAACGTTATTTTGTATCCTTAAATCTATATTCATTCTTCATAAGTTTAAGTATTTAATTCATTATTCATACATTAAATTTAATTTTTCGTGCTGATTTTGACATTTTTTTCATCACTTCCTCTACATTAACTGGTTCTTCTCTATAAATACTTAATAAAACAATTACCAGATTTTCGTGGGGGGAGCCGGGCCCCCTATGGCCCCCCTCCCTGGCTACGCCCCTGGCGTAGGTAGGAAAAGCCACTTAATTCCTGTTTGCTAAGCCACTGAAAAATCTTTACCGTTTTCTCTACATTGAGCATGTTTATTCAGTCCACCGCTTTGTATCCAACCACAGAAATCTGTTGTATCGACAAATATTGCGAATGTATTGACATTACATTCATTAATTGAATTCATAGAAGATGCCGAAGCTGTTCCTCTCAAATAGAACCGATTATCATGAAAAACATAAAGTCCACTTCCACTGTCACCTTCACAAATTCCTTTACCATCCCCAGGTCCACCACAAAATGTTCTCGCTGACAATAATTGCTTTAAATCTTGATGCTCTTTTACACAATTATGAAAATTTTTAATTGGTGCTGTTAGCTTTTTGGCAACATTTGAAGCTTTTCCTTCCTCAGTTTTTCCATAACCGATGACAATTCCTTCTGTTGCGTGAGTCGCTTGTGATTGAGGTTTAGATAAACAAACCGGCTGTATCATGATACTAAACTGGACTTCAGTATCAAGTGTTAAAAGAGCAATGTCACCATCATATGAATCAATATCAACATTCCAGTCTGGATGCACATGAATAGTTTTAACTCCAACTGAAACTCTACCTCTTTCGAATGATTTCAATAAATCATGTGCACCAAGTACAACTGTGATATTTTCTGATGTAAATTCATGGGTTCTGTATTTTCCTTTTACGCAATGTGCAGCTAAATTTTAATACACATTAAGTGGACTTAAATCAGAGCTTTTATGCAAGAACTAACCTGTTACAACGGCTTTATTTGAGACCAGACTTCCGCCACAGAAGAACTCGTCGACATTTTTTATTAGAGCTGCTTTCCTGTAAATTTCAAATAATTTTAATACAATTTTAATCAAATTTCAAGGTCGAAGCTAACCAAGGTTGTTCACCGTGAACTGTCGAATTTCCACCAATAATAATCTGACGAAAAGCTTTGTGAGTTCCACACTCGATCTGAAAATTTTATTTTTTTAATTTGATGCTTCACTCAATTCAGATTTATCAAAAATACCTGACTTGTGGACTCAGTAAATGTAATCAAAATAAAAAAGAATATTAAAATTTTTAATTTCATCATTAAAAAGTTTCAATTGCACTAAATTAAGAATACAAAAATTCACGACTGTCCACTTCAAACACAAAGAACTTTATGAAATCGCACTCAAATTTGTTGTTATACAAATCAAAAAATTAAATAATTTCGCAGAAGAAGATGTCTTAAATGAGTAAATTCTACTGATAAGGTGACACTTGATGAACTCTCAATTTTATTATAATTATTGCAAAATTTATACATTTAAAAAAAACTGGCGAATTCGTAAACACGGGGTTAATCCTTGCACTTCCTGACTTAACGTTCTGAAGCCTACTTGAAATATCCAGTAAAGTTGGTGAATGGATTTGGATTTTTTCATTTGGATTCTTTGTAATTTTTGTGAATAGTCCCGAGTTTAAACGCCTTGATTTTAGCAATGAGTTACAGTTCCACTATTCCACAGCGCAGCATTAGCTGGACCATAAACAACCAAATTTCCATCATTTTGAATGACAATTCTTGCTCCTGGATGTCCACTGCTATGTGAATGCCATCTTGCAGATCCATTGCAATCATAAACTACAAAATTGCCATCGGTTTGCATGATAGCATGTTTTGTGCAAGTTCCATGGGTTTTGGATTGCCACGTGTGTTGCATTGAAGATGCTCGGTATATAACAAAGTTTCCATCTGTTTGATAATAAACTTTAAAGCATTTATTTGGAGATTCGATGAATTCACCAGGATTTAAGTATTCTCCTGAATACAAAGTACTTTTAGTCGCTGAAATCACTGGAGGGCTCGTTGGATTAGATACTGGAATAGCTTCATTGGGATTAAATGGATAAATAAATATATTAGCACTAGCGTTTGCATTAGCATTAACCGATTGTGGTTTAGCGTTAGCTAAACTTATGACTTTTGGATTCAATAATTGTCAACACAATCAAATTTACCAAAATAAATGACTATTCAACATTTTTTTTGGAAAAAAATTTCAAAAAAATCATATAATTAAAAATTTTATCTCAAAAACATGTCATCTCAAATGGTTGATTTTAGATCCAACTTGAGAAACTCAAAGTTTGGAAAATTTAAGACTAATATTTGAACTCCATTAAGCTTTCATATGTCAATCAAACATAATACAGTTTCTATTAGTAATACACAGATACATTACAATGACATATAAACTGAAAACGATTCTAGCTGAAAAAGTGGGAGATGAACTGATTATACAACGAGTTAAGGAGAATTTGAGCATCTTAACTTTTATATACTTGCTGTTAAGAATAACAAAATTTCATGCGTAAGTATTATGCGCATCATAATGATTGTCACAAATTTAGATTATTAATTTAAAAATATTTTATTCTTTTAATATCGTTTAAAGCAGTTTCGCAGGATTGAAATAAGCGTTTTAAAACTGCGAAACTGTAAATCAAAAAATAAAAAAAAAATGAATTTTTCATGCGGTTGGTTAGCAAAGCAGTTAAGTGCCTTGCTGGTCGAATAGGTAAGGCGCTTGGCTCAAATTTGGTATGGTAACTCGAAGGTCGTCGGTTCGAGTCCAGACATTTTCAAATTTGTTCTTTTTCAGAAGTTTAGATACTTCGACTGCTTAATGTAGGAGATCAAGCCATAATTAGGCATTTTGGGCAACGTTGGATTAAGGAACGGATCAGGAACTTCAAGTGTAGCGGGAGAAATAGGAACGAGAGCTACAAGATTACCTTATAATGGAATATTGTCAGAACGGACCTGAAATGTATCACGTCACGCCCACAGAAGATTGAAACGAGAGCCTTAGTTTATTTGAAACCTAGATTTGAAGATTAGAAGCTTCATTCTACGTCACCCATAGTGATATGAAATGTATCACTAATCAATGTAAAAAGTAAAACATGTAGAAACACTAATTCTTCCGGTAACGTCGACAAATAAATAATAATAATAATAATAAACAATTTTAATGATTTTATAAACCGAAATGTACTTTATATTACACGATTGACTAATATTTTATAGACTAAGAACTTATTTATCAAACGACACGTTTAACCAGAATTAGTGTTTGATTATTCATCGCTTATCAGCAGCAGCCGAAAAGTAATAAATTGGCAAAACCGCACTCAAATAAATATTAATGTCTTAAACGAGTAAATTCAACTGATAAGTAACACTTGATGAACTCTTAATTTTATTAACCTTATTGCAAAATTTATACATTTTTCAAAAAAAAAAAAACTAGTCAAGGCGTTTGCACTCGGGATTTAATCCTGACTTAAAATTCAGAAATCCGCTTGAAATACATAGTAAAGTTTATGAACAGCTTTGGGATCTCTATTGGGATTGTTCGCAAATTTTGTAAATAATCTCGAGTAAACTTTAATCTAGCAATGCGTTACAGTTCCACTATTCCATACGGCAGCATTTGCTGGATTATAAACAACCAAATTTCCATCATCCTGTATAACAATTCTAGCTCCTGGATGACCATGTGTATGTGTATGCCATTTAGCTGCATGATTACAATCATACACAACAAAATTGCCATCTATTTGCATGCATGCATACTTTGTGCAGGTTCCATGAGTTTGGAGTGCCACGTGTGTTGCATTGAAGATGCTCGATAATTAACAAAGTTTCCATCTCCTTGATAAAATACTTTGAAACATTTGTTTGGAGACTGAATAAATTCATTCGCGTACAAGCATTCACCGCCATTCAAGGTATGCTTTATAGGTTTTTCTGTTGTTGTTGTTATAGCACTAGATGTATCCAATTGACTTAATGTAACAGGTGGTTGAGGAGTTGCAGTAAAATCTAACAATAATATAATTTAAGAAGTGAAACATAATTAGGAAAATCTGTATCTTTTTGATATATTCACCATTTTCTTTGCATTGAGCATATTTGTTAATTCCACCACTTTGTATCCAGCCACAGTATTCTGCAGTATCAGCGAAAATTCCGTACGTTTCAACAGAATATAATTTTTTATTCAGAGACGATGCTGATGTTATTCCTCTCAAATAAGCCCGATTATCATGAAAAACATAAAGTCCACTTCCACTGCTTGCTTCAAAATCATCATTTGCATTATCAGAACCTCCACATATAGTTCTTGCGCTTAGGTATGATTTAAGATTGTCATTGTCTTTTACACAATTGTGATAATCTTTAATTTGGACTTTGAGCTTTTTGGCATTATTTGGTCCTTCAACCTTTTGAAAGCCAACTACGAAACCTTCAATTTCTTGAGTCACTAGTGGCTGAGGTTTAGATAAGCAAATCGGTTGAATTGTAGCACTTAACTGAATGTCTACATCAAGTGTCAGAAGAGCAATGTCACCATCATATGAATCACTGTCGATATTCCAATCTGGATGGACTTGAATAGATTTGACTCCAACAGTGATTCTTCCTTTTTCAAATGCTTTTGATAGATCCTGTGCACCAAGCACTACTGATATGTCTTCAGGTTTAAGCACCTGAGATTCGCCTTTATTTTTTATACACTGTGCCGCTGAATAATTGAGATGATTTTTTAGCTTCAATTATGGTCAAAGGTTCAAAATTAAGGTTAAGTACCTATGACAACAGCTTTAATTGATATAAGACTTCCACCACAAAAATATTGTCCATTATCATCAATTAGAGCAACTTTCCTGAAATATTTCAATGATTTTAATTATAAAGTCATCTTTCTTGCTTAAATATAATTCACCAAGGATGTTCACCACGAATTGTAGAATTTCCACCAATAGTAATTCGTCGAAGAATTTTATTTGTGCCACATTCGGTCTGCAAAAGCATTTAAATTATTTTATTACTCAATATTAATGCTAATAACAGTGCTTTAACAGTAGACTCTCAAATATACCTGACTTGTGGACTTGCTACTTGCAATCAAAAGAAAAAAGAACAAAACAATTTTAACTTTCATCATAAAAAGAATTTCAATTTTTAATTAAATTTAAAAAATTCACAACTCTCCACTTGAATAACGAGTGACTTTATTTAATCTTATTCGAATCTGCTCTGAAAAATCTCAAAATTTAAATATATTCGCTTTAAATATTTGTAATCTCAAGCAGCTTATTGAAGCTGATAAGGTGACACACAGTGAACTTTCAAATTTATTGAATACATTTAGCATATTTTAATCAAAATCTAGCAATGAGTTACAGTTCTGCTATTCCACAAAGCAACATTAGCTGGACCATAAACAACCAAATTTCCATCATCTTGAATGACAATTCTAGCTCCTGGATGTCCATTGCTATGTGAATGCCACCTTGCAGATCCATGGCAATTAGGGGTTCCAAAATCGGGAATATTCCCGGGAATTCCCGGGAACGGGAATCCCGTTCCCGTTCCCGTTTCCCGAAAATCTGTCGGGAATATTCCCGAAATTCCCGTTTTCATACCAAAAAACCGACAATTCAAATTAGATTTTTTTTTTATGTTGTATCTTTCATGAAAAAACTACAATTTAAAGAAAAAAATTATAATAATAATGAAAACATACGTTAAGGAATTTAAGAGTTGAAATATTAAACTCAAATTTGATGTTTTTTAAATCAAAAACATATATTTATGAAAAACAAAGAGAAAAAATTGAAAATTTTGTGTGAATATGAAAGTATTTAAAAATATTTTTTTAAATGTATGATGTCCACAAAATAATAAACTTAATTGAAATTGGATTAAAGTAATTTTTCCAAAATAAAAAATGTGCTTGAAATTAATATTGAATATGTAAGTAATCAAAAAATCAGTTCATAAGTTGTAATTTAATCATGTACATATTCGTAGATTATCAGAAGTCAATAAATTAGGATGTCTTGGGTTTGGAAGCATTTTACAGTTATAGATTGCTAGACCAGCACGTTAATGCAATCAGGTTTTTAAAATCGTATTTAAGAATTGTTCTAAAACCAAAAAGAATTGAATTTCAAATGGAAATTATTGTCAAAAGAATCAATTTGACAATCAAATCAAATAGAATTCAAATTTGATTTAAAAACTTAAATAAAATACATGATGTAAGTGTAGCTTTTAACTTTTTTTTTCTTTGTTGATTCCCGGGAATATTCCCGTTCCCGGACATCATTCCCGTTCCCGTTCCCGATTCCCGAAATCTTACGGGAACGGGAATTCTGGAACCCCTAATGGCAATCATAAACAACAAAATTGCCATCGGCTTGCATGAAAGCGTGCTTTGTGCAAGTTCCATGTGTTTTAGATTGCCACGTGTGTTGCATTGAAGATGCTCGGTATATAACAAAGTTTCCATCTGTTTGATAATAAACTTTAAAGCATTTATTTGGAGATTCGATGAATTCACCAGGATTTAAGTATTCATTGGCATGAAGAACACTCCTGATCGGCTTCTTTGTTGTTGTTCTAATAGGAGGAGATCGCTGAGTTGTAGTTCTTGAAGTTGTAGTAGGTTGAGTAGTGATTTTCAAAGTAGTAGTTTTCTGAGTAATTGTAGTAAAATCTCAAAGTAAAATAATTTAGTATGGGAAACATTTAAACAGGAGTTCTCGATTTGTCTTTTTTTAAGGACCGATAATGTGGTCCAAATCGAAGACCCTTAAAATTGTTTAATAAATCACTATTGTCTATACATTCAGCATATTTATTTATCCCTCCGCTTTGTATCCAGCCACAGAATTCTGCAGTTTCAGCGAAAATTCCGTACATTTCTACAGAATATAATTTTTTATTCAGAGATGACGCTGAAGTTATTCCTCTTAAATAGAAACGATTATCATAAAAAACATAAAGTCCACTTCCACTGCTTACTTCAAAATCATCATTTGCATTTTTGGAACCTCCACAAATAGTTCTTGCGCTTAGGTATGATTTAAGATGGTCATTGTCTTTTACACAATTGTGATAATCTTTAATTTGAACTTTGAGCTTTTTGGCATTATTTGGACCCCCAACTTTTTGATAACCAACCACAACTCCTTCAGCTACCTGAACTGCTTGCGATTGTGGTTTAGATAAGTAAATCGGTTTAATTGTAGCACTTAACGGAATGTCTACATCAAGTGTCAGAAGAGCAATGTCACCATCAGATATGTCTTCAGGTGTAAGCACCTGACATTCGCCTTTATTTTTTATACACTGTGCCGCTGAATAGTTGAGATGAATTAAAAGCTCCAATCATGAATCTAAATTGAGTTCAAATACCTGTAAGCTTACACCACAAAAAAATTGACCATCATTGTTAATCAGTGCTGCTTTCCTGTAATAATTAAATTTTATATATTTTAAGTAAAATATGATGCTTTAGCTCGTTAGAAGCGTCTAATCCAGTGGTTCTCAAACTGTGTGCCGAGAAAAATTTTGATTGCTAAAATAAGACATGAATAGGGGTTCAAAAAAGTCATGATAATCATTTAGTGTAAGAGTATTCAGGTGTGCCGCAAAAATATTCATGTAAAAAAATGTGCCGTTGACCAAAAAAGTTTGAGAAACACTGGACTAATCGGAAGTTTTCGTATTCATACTGACCAAGGATGTTCACCACGAACAGTATTATTTGCACCAATAGCACCTGTTTGCAGTGGCTTTTCAGTCTCGCAATTTTCCTGGAATTATATTATTTTTTTTTTATTTTCCGCAAATATTTTTGAATCCTTAAAGATATTTGATTGATGCTTATCCTGAACCAAAACTAGTATACCTGACTCCTAGATTCCCTCAAAGTAATCCCAATGATTACAAGAAATAAAAATTCTCTTATCATTTTTTAAGACAAAAAATATAATAATATTTTCGATGTGTTACCGACTTCGAGAATAGAAGCTGAATGACTGTATAAAATTCTATTATCAAATATCACTAGCTTTTTATAATTTTAAAAAAGAAAAGAAGAAAATCCCAAAATTGATAGTTAATTAAATTTAAATAATAATACATTTAAGAAATTCTGAGAGATAATTTAAACCAATTTAAACTTTTATAAAACATAAAACTTTGTAAAGTGGCTTGATTTCATATCAGTGGCAAAGCTATGTGTGGGAAAGAGCGTATATGTAACGCGCTCTTCTCTCATTTACTCAATGCATGCATGCATAATGCTGTTGAGTAATTAGTCCATAAGTGATTATTGAAGAATAAACAAGGCTTGATTATAAGACCAACATTAAGGTGTTTAATTAGTTATCTCCAGTTATCTCCAGCTATCTCAGGTTATCTCCAGTGAGTACTAGAGGATAGGCAGAAGAGTGCTTACACTATGTACGAGGAGTGAAAGACTATCTTGACAACACTCATTAAACCAACTCATTTTATAAAAAAAAAAAAATGTCAAATAATTTAATTTTAAAGAACCAAAAATGTCCAATAAAATGACTTAAATGTTAAAGGCAAAAGTGTTCAATCAATAAAAGAAAAATTGTTTGTTTTTTTAAGAATAAAAAGAAACTTGAAAGCATAAAGAAGTTGTTGAAAAGACCAAAAAAAAAAGCTCCTAACCGATGTGAAATATTTCATGTTTTTCCAATATAACCCGAAAACAACTTTCTTTATGACCATACGTGACACGAATTCGATTTCAAAAATTCGTTTTTTTCTTGCTTTCCTCTTTTACTATGTGCTCTGTTGTTTGATGTTACTTGGCTTGATTGTAATTTTTTTATTTCCTTCATTCTGTTATTTATTTCACCACTCATTTTTTTTCTACTCAGTTCCTTCATATTATTATTTTTCTTGTGAACTCACTGAACTTTATATTCTTAATGTAGGTATGTGTACATTTCTCCGTCGTATATATAGTTTTTTGAAATACTTCATAAAAATCCCATATAAACTTGTCGCAAGAATCTTTCAAGGCTGCTTTTGCATGTACTTCGGTACTCGTTCACTTTATCATTGTAATGCATATTGATTGAATTTTTTATGATATCCTCATGCGGTGGAGAGACAAACATCTTCTTAACAAACATTTGTATAGTTTTTTCTTTTTTATTTGTTTTCTAGTTAAAATATTGCTGGAAGTCTTTTGTGGAAGTTAGATGGAGATGTGACATTATTGTTGTATTTTTAGAATTGTTTGGGGAGCTAGAATTCATATATTTGTAACAACCAGGGTTGCGATATAGGCATCTGTGCACTGATATCATTGATAATTTACAAGGTTATCTAACATAACCATACAAATTCTAATAGAACTTCACAAATTATCTTGGAATTGTACGGTTCTCATCTGTGCAAAGGTGCCTGTATCGCAACCTTGATGACAATTGTGATGAATGTAGATAAAATCTTCGTTCAGACACTAGAAACCCTTATACAATTAGCATTGATTAGTATCTACGCCAGTTTTAAGCAACCGCTTTACGGCACGACAAATTTTGTCCTAAGAATATTATTCTTGAAAGCTCTAAGCACCTTTTACGGCACAAAAATGGTCTACCATTAATCCATAACCATTTCTACAACACTTTACAAATAAAACAACCACTTTAAACTGTATCAAGTTATACGGATGGTTTCTTGTTTCTGTGAATAGTGTCTGACTGGTGTTGATGAAGCCTATTCCATTATCTCACACTTTAGATCCTTTAAATAGTGTGTATGTACTCCACATGATACCTTTCATCTAAAAGCAGTGATATTTATCTTTATACATTGTTCAGAAGTCCTTAAAATAATGCTTAATATCTACGGAACCAGTTTTTAACATAACTCAGGATAGCCTCCCTTGGTCACTGTAAAACAGTAGTTGATCCCCAGAATGGACGTATTCAAAATTTATTAAAACCAACAGATGGTCACTATAAATTATTGGTCACTATTGATATTAGAACCCTCAACATAGTGTAGTGCTTAGTCAATCAAAGTTTCTGCAAATGGTGTTTAACCCCAACAGTCACCATCTATTAAGGAAATGGAATAAACATTCAGACTAACTTCATTAAAGTATAAAAATGATCTATCTTTAAATCTACATTTTTGCTTCCTTTGTGTCTGTCACTAATATTTATTACAATAAGAACATCAATGAGAAGTTCATGAAAAGTATAAATAGATGACTTCTCGTGCCGTCGGACCATTAAGACATTCTTTGATATTGGCCCTCAAAGTAACAACGCCGTTGTGCTTTGCAAAGATAAATCAAAAATCGATTTCACATAAAAAATGCTGAGCTATTATGTAAGGAAGTAAATGTGTAACACTATAGTTGTTTGCTACGTCACATGATGAAGCGTAAAACGTACTTACCTGCCGTAATAAAAGCAAACTCTTATCGCTAGGAATTTTATGAGGAAAAGGAAACTAAAAAAAAACTTTATTAGCAAATTTACAAAAAGCGTTTGGCTGTTATGCATGGCGGAGATTGAATAGCCTGTTGAAATATCAGAATGGAATTACCACAACTACGGGATCCGCAGGGGCATGGCATAGGCGTTCGTTTTGATATGGTCGGAACACAAAATGATCCGACAGATTGTAAACATGTTGATGGTATGTGGGACATTTTTTGTGTACCGCAGTAATTAGCATCCGGCATGGGAAGATATGACATACAGTCACCTTGTTCGTACATTGTACATTTTTCATCGACATCTTCATTGCAATAATTTCCCACAAAGTTGTCACAGAGCTTGGGGCACTCGGATGACATACAAGATGAATTTTTCGATATACATTCTTGTTCTTGTTTTGAGGTCTTGCAGCTGTTTCTCGTTTTACAGGAACTTTCACAACATTTTTCATCGTCATTACAACTTTTCTCACATTTGTTATCATTACATCTAATACTTTTACAAGACGTGCATGGACATTGCTTGAAATTTTTGCATGAGTTGGACTTTTTCGTACACGAAGTTTTACAGTCACTTCCTTCATCTTTTGCCACTTTGCAGTAATCAATTATATCACAAGGATCCACTTCTTCCTCCTTGCAGCTTTTTTGTATGCATTTTGGACACTTTTTGCAGCAACATTCTGTCTCGATATCCTCTTGACATTCATCTCTCTTTATCTCGCAACGTGACTTGATAATTACTTTTTTTGGACAATCAATTGTTGGCTTTGGACATTCATTGAAGCTTACACATTGTTTTCTACAGATTTTTGGGCATGGGAATTGAACTTTCACTCCTTTCTTTATGCAACAAACGCATGGCTTTCTTAATGAACATCCAGGCTTGCAGCATGCTGACTCACATGGACAAATACAGGGAGTTCTTTTACAACTGCAAGGATCACAAGAGCTTTTTTGTTCACAGCAAATAGCAGGTTCACAGCATCTCGATTCATAACATTTCATTGGTTCACAACATTTTAGTTGTTCGTGGCATTTTGTTGGCTCTTCACAAACGTTGATTTCGAAAGCGACTGGCGATTTCTTTAAACAACTTCTTAATGCTTTACACTTCATCTTTTAAAAACTTGAAATTTTGAACAAATTGAGAAAAAAATATTATTTTTAAAGCAATTGAATGCTATGATTACATTAAGTTCGTAGGATGCTATGAATACAGAATGAGCAATAGTATTAATTAAGTTCAAAGTTCATAAGAAAACGCCAACTCATTTTTATAGCCTACAAGTTCCTTGGAAAACTTTAAAATATATTCTCAACTTTCTGATCTAATGAACAACTGCCTTGAGGATTAAACAATCTAATGTTGAAGGATTTAAAGCTTTCTAGTCTACAGAAATAGACGAGTTGATTTAATGTTCACAGAATATGCTTTAAGAGATTCACTTATACTTTCATAATTATCTCTCTTAAAACAATATTTTCGCATGAATCTTTTTTGTTGCTGCATCTACAATTCAGTGATGGTAAAAGTGGCTAGAGTCTAGTTTCTCGGGTACACCTAGGACAGTACTTTAAACCTTTAGTATGTCATGGAGCATAATTCGGGAAGTACTGATCCAAAACATGACCAGAGTACATCATCGAGTATTTCTGGATGCACTCGAGTAATAAAAGCTTCTCTTCACCAACTCTGCAGTCTACATTGACGATGATGTGAAAGTTTTTCTTCAACACTGTCGATAAGGAACGGAGTGATGAAGAAGAAAAGTCAAAAAATAATAAAATACAAATTTTATAACAACAATAAATTGAATTGAGCGAAAACGTATCAAGGAATTTTTTTTTCATTAAATATATTCTTAACGAACAGAGACAACAGAAGCAATAAGAAGTGAAACACAAAATTTGTAGCTAATAATAAAGAAGGAAAACAAAAAAAAAACTTTTCACTTTGCTTAAATATTTATACTGAATAAAAAGTCCAATTTTTCATATTTCTTCTAATTTATATTTGGCAAAAAGATAAAAGTCAAAATTTATTTCTTTTGCGGCACTAGACAATGCCTTTTTTGCTGTTGCAGAAGTGAAGATAATCTAGACAAGTTGTCTAAGCAACTTAGATTAAGCGACGCTCTTAGAATGTTATTAACTTTATGTTTATTATGTTGTAGCTTTTGCTGCTATGGCTTTAATATATTGAAATTTAATGAGAAATTTGTGAGAGGTGATCAAGCAGCTTTTTAATTTTGGGCAGTGCCTTTAGCTATGTATTGCCATTGGCTAAGTATAGTTTTGACTATGGTAAATTTTGATGCCTTTCTAAAGGCAATGCTTGGAATTGATTTTTGCTTTTGCTAGCAAATTGATAGGTGACAACTCTGATATATAGCATGTCCCCAAGTTGTTTCCTTGCAAGCACAGCTGGCACAAAGCTGGTGTGATTCTGGTATGGTGCTGGATTTAAATTGAAGCCAGTCCCATGCCAGATTCATGCCGACTGAGCACCGAATTTCTATTCGATTAACCGACTTGTGTCATTCGGGTTAGCTTTTTAGAGGAGGAAAGGTTGGGCGTAGCCAGGAGATCCTTTTTAGTCCTTCCAAGAACCAGATGCCATGTCCAATGTTTAACAAATAAACATAACTAGGGTGTGCATTTGTTAAATCCACCAATGTCCGAACCGTCCAGTTTATAAACTTTAAGTTCATCATACAAAAATTCAGCAAAAATTCCATTAAATTCATATCCTGCTCGGTTTTTGTGTACATTAGTTGAAATAATTTTAAAAACTTTTATATTTTCCTATGAAGATTTATTTCTGACAATAAGATTTAAGTGCTTTAGAAGCAGAAATTAATTACTTTATTTAGGTCATTGATGCTTTGTTCATTTTTGAATGCGACATTTGAAAAAGTTCAAAAAAATTATTTTTATTTTCATTTACAATTGAGAGCTTATGTTGCCATCGTTATTGAAAAATGTGTTTTCTTAGTTTTGAAAAATGGGACCTTGAAGTGGTGATTGGTGAAAATATTTTCTATAGAATCGATAAGTTTTTTTATTGGAATTATTTTATTCAACTTAAAAATAATTGTGGCATTTTAGGAGAAGAGGGGGGTTGGGAGGGACTTGTCTGAGATTTTACAGCATTTAAGGATTATTTTTTCAATTCGCAATAAATCCACCTCAGTTTAATACTTCATTGGTTAGATTATTGCCCGTACGCAAGGATTATCAGTATTAAGTGTCAACAGCTAAGTTAGCTACCATCTTGAAAATTCGTCTTGAAATTATGAATACCAAGTTACAACTTAACCAACTCTAGACAACATGTTTTTTAAATCCATGTTTTGAACATTATAAAAACAAACAGATCAACTTAACATCCTTCAAGCCTAAAATGATAAAGAATGCTTGCACACACTCAGAATTTTATGAACCTACAAAAATTTTCATACGATGACTATAGCAAGGCAATAAATTAGTAGCACTTAATAAAGATATTTCTTTTTTTTTAAAAAAAAAACTGTTTCCGTCAAAAAGCAAGTCAAATGGAATGAGAAATGAAGAAGGAATGGTAAGATTGTATAAGATCAGATATATTCATTCCATTCTCATCTATTCTCATGTCGAGTGTCATAAAAACATGTAATAGATCATAAAAATATATAAAAAGAAAAGGCAAATCGGGAAAAAATAGAATGGAAAAGAGTGTATTAAAGTATAAATAAATAGAATAATAAATCTTCAGAGCTGCATGAGGGAAGAAGGAACGAGGAGGAAAAATATATGACGAATATGAAAATAGAGAGAAGAAGGAAAAGATAATGGATATATCTGATAGTCGAGAAAAAATAGAAAAAAAGCTCTTCAAGTGAAAAAGTTCAGTTGGTCAGCTAACGAATAGAGATATAATAATATGCATGTGGACTTATGGGGGTTGTTGATAAATGACGGATCTATTTATCAAAAAATTTATTATTATTAGAAAATATCAGTGTGGATGTAGAGTTGGTCTATAACTTATTTTTAAGGATATCATTTATGAGCAATTCAGATATTGATGCTCCAATGAACTACATCATACAATATGCTCATTGATATATTATTTATGAAAAATCCCAACTTTGAAATCATGAAAAAAATTGAGGATTTTTAAGGCTTTTCTTCTTGCATGTTCTATAAAATACAATGAAAGCTGATTAAATTAATATGTTACTGGAAACGTCCGACATCATTAATCATAAAGTTACTATATTTCATGAACTTCTTCTTCATCTTCTGAATATCACAATGAATATATCCTGATTTCAAAGGAGGCTGCAATTTCTGAACGAAGGAGGGCTTGTATCTTTATTCTGGAAAGTTGAATTTAATGAAGTGCGACAGCATTTAATAAATGAGCATTTTTGATAGTTTTTGTATGATTTTTGGAAGCAGTGGATTTTAGAATGTAGCTAATCTCGAAAGGCTTACAACTGGCGCAGGGCCAGCATAGAGATAGCATACATATGGCATGGATTTTCACGACAGCTTAGTTTTTTTTCGATCGGTTCCTGGCATGTGCCAGGATCTCGGTACAGTGTGTCTTTCAGGTAAGCTTTGCGACTTAAGAATATTACCTCGAGTATCTCTATAAACCGATCAATGAGATATTATTATTATTATTGAGTTTTATTCACTACTTCTCCTTCTTTTTACAAGGAAAAAGCCCCCTAAAACAGTACTTAAACTGTTTTAGGGGGCGTAAAAAACCTTGAAAGGAATACAAATACACATATTAAGTACATGAAACCCAAATTAGCTGAAGAGTAGTACTGGAGGATGTTTTAGCTTATGATTGATAAACACTTGAGGTCTATTGAACCACTCAAGCCTTGATATATCAAACCTAGATCAACAATAATTAAGTTTTTATTAATATGTTAAATACCATGTTAACGATACGCATTAGCACACCATGTCTATGTCTATGCATGATGAAAATTAACTATTTCAATAATTAATATTCCATGTCAAATTGTTTCCATAATAACACAACATCATTACACATGTTTAAAATTCCACAACAATCTGAAAAAGCTTTCAAATATTAAGTGCCAATCAAAAACCTTTTCATTCAATAGTGTTGAGGATAAATTCAAGCTGCCCTGAGCCATAAACGAGTGTAAAACATGTAATGTTGTTTAGATTTCATTTATTCCTTCATTTCCTTTTTTCCATCAATGAAATTTGATATCAAAATTTAGGATGCAGAGAGTCTTGTGGCAACAATAGTGAAATCTTGCCTTCCACAAGGCACAAACCAAAAGAATTCTCTTTCATACCTTCTTTCTTCGTAAATTCTTTTTTAAGTAGTTGGCCACTTATCTTGCGAGGAAAAAGGCAAACCGAAAAAAAGGAAAAGAAAAAAAAAAGTTGGAAAGAGGTCCTGCATACATAAACGTATGGTAGGCTATAATCTCTTCCATTTTTTTCTGCCTTACAACATCATATCCAGTTGTATAACATAATACACAATTCTTCTCTCGACCGCAGTCAATACATGATGCAGACCAAACAAAGCGGGAAAGATTTTTTCATTCTCATCTACTTTTTTATGAATGGATAAAATGTAGGACATTGCTGGTTCAAGAAATTTGCTTTTACGATAAAAAAAATACTTAAAAACATAATCTCAAATTCACGACCTCTCTTATATTTCTTGAACCGTGATGAGTAATCGGTTTAGTAGGAATTTATGACGTTAGTTGTAAAGTAAAATGCCAGAAATCTTTTTGGGAATTTTGATAAACTGATCATCAAATTCATGCACGGCTAAACTCATGGAGTTATTAAAATTTTTATGGATTTTTGAGATTGCTGATTTTCTGGTTAAGTTGGAAGGCTGATATCTTGAGATAGTTGATGCTTATATCCAAGGATTAAAGTTAAATCTGTTTGTGCATCCCAAAGAGGGCTTAATTATCAATTGCAACAGGTACTTTATAGCCACACACACGATTGCTAGCTAATGCCACAAGCTCACTGAGTTGATAGCTTTACTGAGCCGCTTCTTTAGGAATAGACGATTGCCAAGTAGCACTAAGTCTACCAGGTTTTTGCCTACCCGG